AAATTTGATGACAGAAAAGTTGAAGTTGTGGGATAGTGTGAGATTTGGGTAATATCTAAAGTTTTAGTCATCCTTGTTCTCAGGCCATTGAAGTCAATCAGTCAACGTTTATTAAGCACCTACTATGTGCCATTGAAATTTGATCTAAGTTGTATCTAACATTCATAAAGTGAAAATATTCGGTATTTCATTGAGACTGTGGGATATCATTTTCTGAGAGTGGTGGATGCCTTTTTGGGGATGATCTAAATATACGGTGCCTAAAGGCAAGAAGATAAATCTGTGAGAAGCTATTCAACCCTAATATTCTATGAAAAAAAGTTGGTAAGATTTGACTCCTATTATCATTTATTTAGGTCAGGAAGGACCTTCTTCAGAGGTCATCTAGTCTACCTGCGTCATTTTACAAATGAGGAAACTGAGGCCCAAAGAAATTAAATTACTTGCCCAAGATGACATGTAGGAGAGGAAGAATTCAAATCTAGGTCCTTTTGGCTCTAAACCTGTTGCTTAATCCACTGTATCACCTTGATTCCTGAGCAGCCCCAGAAAGACTCCATCCTTTCCATGTCCCCACCCCCATCCCTTCTTCCTTGACTTTCAAATGTACCCTAGTCTTGGTAGTATTCATATATATGTTCTATTTTTTTTTATTTTGCCCATGAGCTAATTGAGTCCTTTATATTTGGTTCATTCACTCTTGTCTCTCATTTTGTTGTATCTCTGTGTGTCCTGGGTTTTGTGCCCTCTGCTGACCTGGAAATTTTACATTCAGTAGCATTTTTAGGCCATTTGTATTAACTAATGAAAAGCAGTGATCCCTAAACTGATCTGTGCAGTTTCCTACAGGTAGCCTCTTTTAGGCTTGGAATGTTTCTATTTATCACTCTGAATTTCTGCCCTTGAGAGCAATTTAGTTGAATGTGTGCTAATTTCCCTTCTCCTCTATAACTGGATGAGTCAGATATTAGTCTCTTTTGTTAACTGTTTCTTCATGCTCCTTAAGTAATGCCTTGGGCTCCAACCTTGCTCCCCAGGATCCTTGTTCACCAAAGCTGATTGGGACCAATACGGCTTTTGGTTTGTACCATGTTGAGAGAGACAGAAATGTCAATGACAGTTCTTTTTTACACCATAGGCTGAGTTGCATCTGCTGACATTGGTGGGTTTTATTGCCCCTGCCTCCGAATGAACTGAATACCGTGGTGCAGCAGAGAGTTCAAGGCTGAGAATCAGGAGAGACGTGGATTTGAATCTGTCTGCCTCTGATGCTTACAAGCTGCCTGATCCAGGGTAAGTCATAAAAATTTCTGTATAAATGTCAACTCTGCTAATTTCCTGCTCTGCTGCCTCACTCTATATTGAGGTGATGCTGGGCTCTCAAAGAGCTAATTGAGCCAAGTTCAAAGAGTCCCATCTCCCGATTTTGGCCACAGCCATTCCAGAAACCAGAAGAGCAACTCCAGCAGGCAGATAGCACCATGGAGAGAGTGCTGGACAGAGAGTCAGGAAGACCTGAGTTCATATCTGGCCTCACAAAACACTACCACCTATTTTTGTTGTTGTTTCAGTCATGTGTGATTCTCCATGACCCTGTTTGGGGTTCTCTTGGCAGAGATACTGGAGTGGTTTGCCATTTCCTTCTCCAGATCATTTTACAGGTGAGGAAACTGAGGCAAATCACTTAACCTCCACCTACTTTAGTTTCCTTATCTGTAAAACAGTTATGGCAATAGCACCTACCTCTCTGGTTGTTGTGAAGATCAAATGAACTAATATATGTAAAGCATTTTGTAAGCCTTAAAGCTATATATAAATGTGAGCGATTATTATTATTATTATTATATAATATTCTAATAATAGGATACTAAGGGACAATTGAGGTAGCACTCTCATGAAGGAAACCACAGCTCTTCGAAGGGAAATATCCAGTCAAATAGAAACTCCTTCAGGATAGGAATGGTTTCATTTTTTTGTTGTCTTTATATCCCCAGCACTTAGCATAGTGCCTAGCACACAGTAGTGTTTAATAAATATTTTCTGACATGAATTGTTGAATAAGCAACAGATGATGCAGTGGATAAAGCACTGAGCCTGGAGTCAGGTAGACTTATCTTCCTAAGTTCAAATCTGGCCTCGGACATTTACTAACTGTGTAACCCTGAGCAAGTCACTTAACCCTGCTTGCCTCAGTTTCCTCATCTGTAAATGAGCTGGAGAGAGAAATGGCAAACTGCTCCAGTATCTGTCAAGAAAACCTCAAATGAGGTCACAAAGAGTTGGACACAACTGAAGCGACTAAACAGCAACAAAGCTTTTCAGAAAGAAAGTATTTTAAGGTTCTTTTCCACAATGAATAATCATAGCCCTGTATTTGGAGTTAGAATCTGGCTCTGCCTTTCTCTGTGTGAGACCTTAGAATCAAAAATCTTAGATTTAAAGCTGGATGGGACTTTAGGGGAACATTATAGTCCAACCCTCTTCCTTTTATAAATGAGGAAACCGAAACCTAGAGAAATTAAGTGATTTGTCCAAAATCCTGCAGGTAATGAATGTCAGAATGTGAATAAATCACTCCAGCTCTCTGAGCCTCATGTGTCTCATATGTAAAAAGAGAATGCTAGTCTAGACGATATTTACGGACCCTTCTAACCCTGAAGTCTATGAGTCTATGAACTACTCCTTCGAGGCAAGTGCGCACTTGCCTTGGGCATCACAGCCCTTAATGCAGGGGAAGAAAGAAGCCATTTAAAGTGAACCCAATGCTATCTTGATTATTAAGGCATTTTAGTATATTTTTGTCCAATTATTAACAATGTGTTTTTCCTCCTTCAAAATGTGTCTGTTCAGATCTTTTAATGCCACGCTATGGAGTGTATATTTTATTAAATGCCTACGATGTGCCAGGCACTGTGCTAAGCACCGAGGATACAAAGAAAGGCAAAAAACATAGTTTCTGCTCTCGGAGAGCTTACAGTCTAATTGTGGAAGCAGCATGTAAACAGCTAAGGAAAAGGTGATGGCAGAGGATGCGATGGATAGATAGTGTCACGGAAACAATGAACATAAACTTAGACTTCAAGAGATAGTAAAGGATAGAAGGGCCTGGCGTGCTATGGTCCAGGGGTCCTGAAGGGTACAAAAATATACAAAATGTAGGATAAATTGGGGGGGGAGGTTAGTCTCAGAGAGAAGGCCTTCAGATTATAGAGGACTGGGAGAGGTTTCTTGGAGAAGATAGGACTTTTGCTGATATTTGAAGGTAGACAGAGATGAAGAGGAAGAGAGCTCTAGGAATGGGGGAGAACCAGTGAAAATCCTCATAGATGGGAGATGGAGTGCTGTGCTCAAGGAACAGCAAGAAGGGTGGTCACTGGATCACAGAATACTTGAAGAAGACTGGAAAGGTAGGAAGAGGCTAGATTATGAAGGACTTTGAAAGACAAACAGGGGATTTTATATTTGATTCTGGAGGTAATAGGAAACCACTGGAATTTGTGGAATAAGGAGTGGTATGGTCAGACCTGCATTTTAGGCAGATCAATTTGTCAGCTGAATGGAGTTTAGATTGGAATAGGAAGAGACCTGAGACAAAGGAAACCAACCAGTATGCTGCTGCAATAGTCCAGGCTTGAAGAGATAAGAGCCTATGTCAGGGTGGTAGCAGTGTCAGAGGGGGAAAGAGAGAATATATGAGAGATGTTTTGAAAGTAGAAGTGGCAGAACTTGAGAAATGACTGGATATGTCTCACCAAGGTTATAAGCCAGGGTGATTAGAAGGATAGTGGTACCCTCAATATAATAGAGAATTTAGGAAAAGGGGAAGGTTTGGAGGGAAACATGAGTTCCGTTTTGGACATGCTGAATTTAAGATCTCCATGTTCAAGATGTCTAATAAGCAGTTAGAAATGTGAAACTGGAGGTCAACAGGTAAGGGCAGGACAAGTATATCTCAGAATCATCTACATGAAATTCTGATCGATCTATCTAAATTCCTTATAAAATCAAGGTATCAGAACTTCATCTAATGTACTTCAAATATTTCTCTAAATTTCTTTCTTTTTTCTGGTTTGCTTTAGAGATACTGTTTTACCATCATGTTTTTCCCCTTGTTTTAAAAATCACATCCATTTTGTGCACATTAATTTTTTCCATTTGATTGATTTTAAAAAAATCCTCCTTTCCACAGTTACAAGTGAATAATTTCTTTTTGTTATAATGTTTTCTCCTCCTTCCCATCCTTCTCCTCCTGCTCTTCCTCCTCCTCCTCCTCCTCTTCTTCTTCTTTTTCTCCTCCTCCTTCTCCTCTCCTCCTCTTCCTCCTCATCTTTTTTCTCCTCCTCCTCTTCCTTCTCTATTTCAATTACAAATTTAAGATTGAATTGTTAGAATTTATTGCCATGTCACTACACAGCTATCCAGTTTTTCCTAACAGTTTTTATTGAATTATATTCCATTCTCATATCTTTCAACTCTCTGTTTCAAGTTATAGGGTCATAGGTCTAGAGCAGGAAAGGACCTTGGGGGTCATCTAGGCCATCCCTCTCCTTTTACAGATGAGGACAATTAGGCCCAGAGGTTACACAGATAATAAATATCAGACTGAGGATTTGAACTCAAGTTCCAGTGTCTCTGTCACTACCTGCTATTTCAAACGGTAATCTATTACATGTATGTGAAGTATAATATTGAGTTCTGAATGCTATGTTTTGGGAAGGACATTGATAATTTAGAGAGTATCTAGAGAAAGGCAGCCTGGGGATAATATTATAGATTGTTGGGTGAAGGATATGCAGGTATTTAGCCTGGAGGAATAAAATCTTGGGGGATAATAGATGACTTAAAGTATTTTAAGGGCTGTCATATGAGAAGGGGTTTATTTTATATTGCTTGGCTCCAGAAGGCAGAATTAGAATCAAGAAGTGAAAGTTGCAAAGAAGCAAATTATGATTTGACTATAGGAAAAAAAATTTACCCTACAATTTGACCTATTCAAAAGTGAAATGAGCTGCCTTGGGAAGTGATGAGTTCCCTTTCACTAGAGTTCTTCAGATTGAGGATGGTGAGATGATCACTTGTTAGGTATGGATTAGGTTGACTGGATGGTTTATAAGGTTCCCTAAAATTCTGAGATTCTGTGAGAATAACTGTTGAACTTAGCTGTTTCTGCTCTTTCGTTCTGGTTATATCTTAATTTCTTTCTGTCTGGAGGTTTTTGAGTGGAGACTCAATTCACTAAGTTCCTCTTTCCTATTAATGTAGATATTTTGTGCTCTAATTTTGATTCTAAATACTTTTTTAACAGCACATCATAGATTTTGATATGTATCTGAATTGCCTATATTATTTGTATAATCTCTCTTGTTTTTCATTTCTTCTTTCATCCAAGAATTATTTAATAAATCCTTTTTTTAGTTCAAGGTAGATATTCAACAGTTACATCTAGCTTTAGTGAAAAATGATCCATAAATGTATTATACAAAAGTCTAGCTTTTCTAATTGCTTGGTATGTGATTAGTATTTTGTATATTCTTAATGTATTTTTTGAAAAGTATACTCTTTACTTCTTCCATTGAATTTTCTTCATGTATCTAATAAATCTAGTTGATTTCACACCCTATTTAGTTGTAAAATTTTATGTTTATTTAACTTTTATCTTTTTCTTTGAATTTTTATATTGTTTCTGACTTTTTGTAATGTGTCATCTAATTCTTTTAAGACTATGAGCTTTAGCTGTATACATTCGATTGCAAAATTATTTGTCCATATGCAGTGAAAAGTCACATGCTCTCATTTTGACTCAAAACTTTTAACATAATATGGCATTGACTATATATCTTTGAATGCTTTCTAGCTTGAACTTAATTTTATCAATACAATCAAAGTTACTTCTGCCTTTCACAAGTCAGCTGTAACACGATAAATTTCAGCCTAACCTTCAACTAAAATACATCAAAATCTTTCCAGATTAAATGTATTTTCTACAAACAACATATATTGATTTTTGCTTTTAATTCATTCTGTAGGCCTTATTTTTATTATATTTGGCATTATAATTATTAAATTTATCTTTTCTTATGCTTTTTTGTTGAAATATTGTTTGATTTGTTGAAAGGAAATGCAATCTTTCTTATTTTTACTGTTAGTGTTGTTAACTAAAACAAAGCACCGCTACACAAGACAAAATGTCTTACAACTAGTAATGAAGTTTCCTTATCTCTGGAGGCTCCCTTTAAGAAAGATGGATTTTTCTTTGGTTTTTGCTTATAACTTCCTCCTCTGAATTCTTCTCTTTCCACCTTTGTTTATCTGAAGCAACTTCTGAAATACTTAGATAATATGTACAGTGCTTTGCAAGTCTTAAAGTACTATATAAATGCTATTATTATTACATTGAAGGTTCTTGCATTTAGATAGTAACAGGTTTAATTTGGTTTCTTTTAAAAAAAAGTTAATTTCTTTCAATTCTTATCATTTTAACTTAAACACTTGACTGATTTTCAAAGCCTTCTAGTTATGCCTTGTAGTGAATTCCTAAAAATCCCTATAATTTGCAAAGGTACAACTCTTGCCTTCAAATCTGGGTAGATTATTCTGAATTTGTAACTATAATTTTGTGCATCATATTCTAATTTCCCTGCTATCATATATGTCTTAATTCTTGCAGTTTTCCAGGATTGTTTTCTTTGACATTGTAGTATTGAAGTTTAACAAATCTGTGTAGGACAGCTAAAACAAACTTAGAAGAAGGGATAGAGGTGCTGCAGGTGCTTCTTTAATTTTGTCCTAAAGAATATACTACAGTATTTACATGGAAAAGTCTATTTTTATTTCAATTCAGTAGCATGGACATCTGCATGAAGACAAGATCTCTTAAGATTAAAATTTCTTAGGGCTCATCTGTTTACAAATTTCTACTTACAAATGATAATTCACACTGTTACAATGGATGATTATTGCTTTGGTTAAAAAAAATAGTAAGAGCTGAGGAAGTGTAAAGATTCTGATGTCCCATAAGAGTGCCAACTAGACAGCGTGCCTGAAGAAAATATTCAGAAAATTTAAGATATCTGTAGATAGAAACATCACTAAATGGAAATTAATTCTTTTTCAGGGTATTCTAAGTTTCCCAATATGTAGTAATAGGTGGGTTAATCATAGAATCAATAGTATTGATAACATTTGCTTGAATATTTTCCAAAGAGAATCAAAGAGTGAAAAGAATAAGATACACATCTAAATTGCATTATTCTAATTGGGTTTTTAAACTTCATAGACTATTTGCAAATTTGGGAAAGACACTTACCTATGCCACTTAAGGCTATGTAATGGAAGCCAAATTCATAAGCATTAGTTACACAACAAACAAACAAAAAAATGTATGTCTCTGAGTGTATGCAGAGGTGGGGTTTTTTTCACCTGTAGTAACTCTCCTATTGGTTGCTTTTATTGATATAGAAGGATATAAAGTGAGTGTGGCATAGGGAGAAGATCATTAAAATTCAGGTCAGAGAGTTGGCTGACTCTACTATTTACCATTGGTGTGATGTTGTGCTAGTCAATTTATCTACCTTCACAATACCTGGCACATAGGAAGTGCTTGAAAAATGCTTACTAACTGACTATTAACTGAGTGATCTACCTGAACTTCACTTTCCTCATCTGTAAAGTGCAGGGGTTCAACTAAATGATCTCTAAGGTCCCTTCTGGCTCTAAATCCTATATTTTCAGGCTTTCAATCATATTTTCCATACTGGTCATATATTATTTAGCTGTGATGTCTACTTAGAACACTTGAATGAATTAAAATCATTCTTCATGCTTTACCAACTCTTGCTGCGGGTTTTTCTATTAAAAATATAATCATCTATTGATGATAACCATGAATTATCATTGTGAGTAGAGACATAAACAGACAAGTCCTTAAGAAATCTTAATCTTAAGCAGTCTTGTTTTCATGCAGATGTCCCTGATGCTAAATCAAAATAAACAGAAAATAATATTTATGTGTAGACTTTTCCTAATACATAGAGTTAGGGACTAGATCAGTGATTTCATTGGTATAAGGACCTTCCAAATGAGGAAATTCCCTCTATAAATGCAGGTTGGCACCTTCTCTGCTGTTTCTAGTCTTAGAGAGTAATTTTGTGCACAGAAATTTGCCCAGTCAGACAGCCATTATGTATTAGAAGCAGGACTAAAACCCAGGTCTTTCTGGCTTTGAAGTCAGTTTTCTATACACTATGCCATGCTGTCTTATTGTATTATATGATTAAGAAAGTTTTTTTCAGTAGCATCCTTTATACTTTCTTTCCAAGATTGTTTTAGTGAGAGACAGTAGAAAAGTTTCATCATCAAAATAATTTTATGTTTAAGAATAAAAAGAAATGCTAAAATTCTTTGATTCCACATTGCTAAATCACTGGAATAAGCTGTGCGAAAACTGCATATTAGAAATATCTTTGTGGTATTATATTTAAGTATCTGACAAGTGGCTGATGGAAGTAGACTTAAGTCTGATGATTATATCTTCAGTGACAGAGCTAATATCATGTTTTTCATCATCATATATACAGTATGATTTTTATATTAAGCCACCAGGAATCACTATTGGCCATTTGCCTGATCCTCTTAAATAATAAGGACCAGGCACTAAGCAATCTCATGCTCATTTTGATAATTATATACTCTACCCAATAGTAGAGAATGGTCCCTTGTGAGCTGGCTTCTTCTGTTTCTTAGCTCCACCCCTTTTGTGGCTGGCAGTTCTTGGTGCCTTAATCTAGACGTGTGTCCATGAGGATTTATCTAGATATTCTCTTGGTTTATCCACTGGGAAAACACTTCCTCTTCCCTTTATGCTATTTTCCCATTCAATCACAATAGCATTGCATAATGGAACTGATCCTGCATACCGGGTTTAACAAAATAATCGTCTAGGTCTTTATTTGTCTCCCCCCCCAAAAAAAAATGTATTAAAACTACCACACAGACTAGGTATCTGCAGCTCTTCCCAAATGCAGGTAGCTCTTCACCAGTTAATTTCAGTGCCTTAGAAATAGGAGTTCCAGGATCACAATTTCAATTAGTCAGTCAATGAGCATTTATTACATAAGTGCTGGAGACTGAAATAAGTGCTGAGGATATAAAGAAAGGCCAAAAAAAAATTGGTTCTGCCCTCAAGGAGATCACATTATAATGGGGGTTGGGGGGAAGGCTGGGGATGACAATATGCAAACAACAATATACACATGTGATATATACAGAGTACCTGGAAGGTCATCTCAGAGAATGAGGGATGAGGAGGGTGGGTAAGTAGAGACCAAGAAATGCCTCCCGCAAAAGGTAGTATTTGAGCTGAGTCTTGAACGAATCTAGAGAAGTGTGTAGAGATGAAAAGGGAGAGAGCATTCCAGGCAGTGAAAAAGCATGAGAGGTGAGATGGAGTGTATAATGTGTAAAGACTAGTAAGAAGGCAGATGTTACTGGATCATGAAGTAAGTAGGTATGGGGTAAAGTACAAGAAAATTGGAAAGGGAGGAAGGACCCAGATTTCTAAGGGCTATAAATGTCCAACAGAAGATTTTATATTTGATCTTGGGGGTGATAGGAAGTCACTGGAGTTTATTGGGCAAAGTGGCAGGATCAGACTTGCACATAGTAGACCCTCAATAAATTCCATAAACAGGGGCAGCTAGGTGGCACCGTGGATAGAGCCCTGGATTCAGGAGGACCTGAGTTCAAATCCGGCCTTAGACACATAACACTTATTAGCTGTGTGACCCTGAGCAAGTCACTTAACCCCATTGCCAAAAAAGAAAAAAAATGAATTCCATAAATGCATCAAAATCCACCGCCTTGAACTATCAGTGGAGTCACTGTTGATCTGTAAACCCCTTGAGTGCAGGGACTCTCTTATCTTGAATCCCAAACTTCTACCCAAGTGCCTTGAACATTGAGTCATTTCAGTCATGTCCAACTCTTTGTGCCCTTATTTGGGGCTTTCTTGGCAAAGATACTAGAGTGGTTTGCCATTTCCTTCTCCAACTCATTTTACAAATGAAGAAACTGAGGCAAACAGG